GCGCTCGATGGTCTCGGCGAACACGGGGAGCTTCATGAGCGCCGAGCCCATGCCCGCCCACTGACTGCCCATGCCCGAGTACACGAACCAAACCGCCTTCTTCTCTAGGGGCTGTCGATGGGGAGGTCGTTAGCGGTAGTGCATGGGACACTCATGATGACAAGCCATACTGCACCCAACTTACCGCGATAACGGTGTCATTCCCGGTGGAGGGGCAGATGACGAAGCCCCGGTAGTTGTGCCCTCTGATGTCGTCGCTGAATACGTCTTGCAGCAGGCGGTAGTAGTTTGTGTCAAATGGAGCAGATTGTATCTGTGTTTTTAAGAACAAGGTTGTGAATGTAGATCCACCCAAGGTCGCTCTTGGTTCTCGATGTGCGGGTGCGCTGTGGACTCACCTTGTTGGCAACGTCAGCAGCCGCCTCTTCATCCCTGGCCGAAAAGGTGACGAGGCGCGGCAGGTGGTCGGCGGGGTCCTGGACGCGGCATGAGCCGCGAGGGTTGCCCCCGAGCACAGCGTGTCCTATCATGGAGGAGACTGCCATGGTGTGGACGGCCAGGACGCTGTCCTCGGACAGGTGCAACGGCGTGTTCTTGTCTACGACCTGCAGCAGTACGTAGAGGTCATGATCCTGTTAAGGTAGAAAGTCTCTCCTCGCCCCCTGTGGACGCACCTTGAGCCTGCCCGCTACCAAACCCGTGGCCTCGCTGTTGGGCTCCTGGAAGTTGATTGTGGCCGGGATGACGCCTGTCTCCATGGCGACCACCATCTTGCAGATCGCAGCCAGGCCGTTGACGCAGTCGACGTGGCCGATGTTGCTCTTGACGGAGCCTATCTGCAGGGGGCTTTCTCGCGCCGCCTCCTGGACCAGCGCCTGGTCGATGGCGTTGAGCTCGCACGCGTCCCGGATACGGTTGCCGTTGCCGTCGGCCTCCAGGTAGGCGATCGTCTTGGGGTCGATGGCGTGCTTCTTGTACGTCCTCCGCAAAAAGTCTTGGGTGCCTTTTGGGCTGGGCAGTGTGAGGTCGACGTTGCATCGCGGTCCAACGAACTCGACCTCGGTGGCCAGCACCCTGGCGTAGCACCGCTTGGCCTGGTCGGCGCGCTGCAGCAACATGGCCACGGACCCGTCACTGCGCACCGCCCCGGTTCCTGCAAGAGAACCGAAACGCCGAAGGTCGTAAGGTCGTGCTGCGAGTCGCGATACGGGGTGTTTGGTCACGCACTTCATTTACCTTTCGCGTCGAAGCTCCTGGTGACGCCCTCGTCGGTCACGAGCCCCAGCTTGTTGAGCAGCAGCGAGGTCTCGCCGTAGCGGCTGATGCTCCCGGCCACGACGAGTGCGGCGTCGCACCGCCCCTCCCGGATGGCGTCGGCGGCTTGCTTCAGCCCCAGGAGTCCGCCTACCCAGGAGCCGTCGACCGCGCAGCTAGGCCCTGGTGGACGGGCGATGGGTTAGACAGGACGGGACTCGTGTTTTCTACCTTGCCTTTCCTTCTGAGCACCTACCGTTGAAGTTGAAGTAGTACGAGAGGCGATTGGGTAGCATGGTACGAGACAACCCCATGACAGCATAGCCGTCTTTAAGTGGGGCCGTGGAGTAAATAATCTTCTGTTCGAACTCATTGATGCCGGAGCACGCGAACACCCCCGTGTTGGAGCCGCTCAGCGCCGCCGGGTGGAGACCTGCGAAAGGTAGTGAGTGCATGTCCCCGTCAGCATCAGCTTGCCGTCACCTCCACCGACCAGCTGCCCGGCGGCCTGCCGTCACCGCGCCTTACCGGCGTCTAGGATGGCCTCGAAGCTGCGCATGTAGCCGATCTTGGACGATGGGTCCGTCACCACGGCCAGCTTGCGGTTGATCCCGAAGAAGAGCTCGTCGAAGTACTCGTGAGGGGTTTGGCCGCATACAGGCGTAAAGACGTCTGCGATGAAACAAACAGATGAAGACGACGACACGTGAAATATTTTTCCTGACCACACACGTTTGACACATGTATCGTCTCTAACGGCCCGACGTCCTAAGGCCCGAGGATGTAGGCTACTTGCATCCCCTCGTAAAGGCGGGGCAGTGTAACAACCAGAGCGGGCAGAAAGAAGGATTTGCAAAGAACGTTGCTCCGGCGCGCCCTGCTCACCATCTCTCCAGCGTTTCGTCCTCTCCACGAGGTGCTTGTTGTCGAGGAGGTCGCGCCCGAAGTCCTCGACATTGCCGCTCCCCGAGAAGGCGCTCCCGATGCCCGAGATGACCACCTCGTTACTCATGGTCGTGTGTTGAAGTGAAGCACTCGCGAGAGAATGCTAGTGCGAGCCCGGGCCCGCTCTTAAAGTACAAGGTGTAGTAGTACAGCGCTGACAGCACTCGCGCTGCAATGCCACTGCCAACTCGCGCCTAGTACAACAAAATGCAACTTGCCCTGGCGGAGTGCCGGGCCCGG